TGTTCTAGTTCTGTTCTAGTTCTGTTCTAGTTCTGTTCTAGTTCTGTTCTAGTTCTGTTCTAGTTCTGTTCTGTTCTAGTTCTGTTCTAGTTCTGTTCTAGTTCTGTTCTAGTTCTGTTCTAGTTCTGTTCTAGTTCTGTTCTAGTTCTGTTCTAGTTCTGTCTAGTTCTGTTCTAGTTCTGTTCTAGTTCTGTTCTAGTTCTGTTCTAGTTCTGTTCTAGTTCTGTTCTAGTTCTGTTCTAGTTCTGTTCTAGTTCTGTTCTAGTTCTGTTCTAGTTCTGTTCTAGTTCTTCTAGTTCAGTTCTAGTTCAGTTCTAGTTCAGTTCTAGTTCAGTTCTAGTTCAGTTCTATTTTTATTTCAGTTCTATTTCAGTTCTAGTTCAGTTCTAGTTCAGTTCTAGTTCAGTTCTAGTTCAGTTCTAGTTCAGTTCTAGTTCAGTTCTAGTTCAGTTCTAGTTCAGTTCTAGTTCAGTTCTAGTTCAGTTCTAGTTCAGTTCTAGTTCAGTTCTAGTTCAGTTCTAGTTCAGTTCTAGTTCAGTTCTAGTTCAGTTCTAGTTCAGTTCTAGTTCAGTTCTAGTTCAGTTCTAGTTCAGTTCTAGTTCAGTTCTAGTTCAGTTCTAGTTCAGTTCTAGTTCAGTTCTAGTTCAGTTCTAGTTCAGTTCTAGTTCATTCTCAGTTGATGCTGAACCTAATCTTATCATATCGATCAAAAACTACGACAAAAAAACTCACCTTAGCTCTAGAGAAATAACCGTAATCTGGCCGATCAATGTCCAAAGTATCCTTAACACACTTATCAAACACACCTTGTGTCTGCGGCAGCTATAAATTAAAATATAACAGTTTTTAAATATAAGGGGTTGATTTAAAATACCAACGGAACTTACTGGGCTAAAAGACATAGTGCCACTTGATTTATCTAAGCAAGTAGCATATTGCATGAATTCTCATGGCAGCTTTTCTTAACTTTGCGGAAAAGTCCATGGCACAGCTGGTCACAGCCTTACCCTCATTCAAACAGGCTCTGGGATCATCTAATTCTTGGCGACATAACATGAATTCCTGTTCGAAAAAAAAAACATAAACAAACTTTTATATGAAAAGCTGTCAAACCATATTGAGGTTAGGTCTTTACGAGACACCAAAAATTATATAACTTGGTTTTAAGGCTAAAATCCTTATAAATTCCAAAATAATTCTTGTTTAAGACTAAAAACATAATTATATAATTAGTATGTATCGAAAAATACTTACATTATTCTGAAATTCGCAAGCTTTGCCCAAATGAAAGGCTCCGGCACGTAAAGCTGCGGTAGACAAATTCAATTCTTGAACCGTCAATTCCTCCTCTGTGGGCAGCTTTGTATCGTTGGTGACCACCATGTTTGGGCTTTACACAAGCTTTTTATAACTATTGGAATGGAAAATAAACTAAATATTAGAGATTTAATGTAAATTAACAGAATTTTCTTGATTTTACCAAGAAAGTGCCAAGAAAAAAATTGTTAAATGCTTGTTCTTACCAGCTGAACTAGAAAAACAGCTGTAGATTTTTTTATTAGAAATGTCATAACATTAGGTGAGAGTTGCCTGACTAGCGAAATAAAGTAATGAGTACTCACTCATTAATATTGGTAGCCGTCGAAATCGATTACCGTTATAAAAGTATTAATATAAAGATCATTTAAGACATTTTGAGAAAAACTATTTTAAATGTTTTATGACTTTTTACTATTTCTGAAATATTTTTTAAACAAATTATCGAATTATAAACATAAAACCAGTTAAATAAGCTAAGTATAGGTCAATATGTTTCTAACAAAATGTTTACTATTAAATATATGAGAAATGTGAATTTCAGTTTTGGCGCATATTTTGGAATATACAGTTTACAAACTTCGAATTTCAAATTATGCCAGTATGTAGTAAATGTACTCACAAGGATGCATTATAGGTATCAAATGAAAGCTTATGGTACACACTTGTGTGCATATATGGGTAACTTTTCGAATTACGGCCACTTTTATATGAGCGGTTATAGACTTTTTGTTACAAGTACTAAGCACGAAAAGAAATAAAAAATCTGAGCCGATTTGGATGGTATATTTGATTTTAAATATTACAATTTCAGTTTTAACGTTGTAAAATATTGCAATCTGGTAATATAGTACTATTTCAATTTCTGGCAGCTCTAACAGCTGTTACATTTAAAATGTAAACATTGCTGTTCTATTTTCCTCTCCCATTTAGCAGTAATACAATAGTAAAGTGTTAAATAACTGCCAAAATATATCAGGAATTATGACAGAAAAGGATATTAATGCCAATGATAACCAAACTATATTGAAAGACGAATGGGCGGTATGTTCCAAAAAATAAGTAGACTTTAAAACAATATAATTTATAATATTTCCTTCAGATAAGACCCTGCGCGGTATACAAAGACGAATATGATGATTGCACTAGTTTCAAAGCACGATTCCATCAATATTTTATCAATGGACAAAATACAGACTGCACACAATGGCAAACGGATTACAACAATTGTGTAAAATATCGTGATTCGAATGGTAATGATGTAGATGCTGGTGTTGCTGTCATTAAAAGCGAAGAAGAACGCCGTTTAAAACGTTTTCATGGTCACTATGCGAATACTGTATGGGAGAAGAGAAAGTCACCGCCAGAAGACTGGTCTAAACCTTTGCCAGAATGGATGGAAAAGAAAAATGAAAATTCCTACTTGCAATTAAAGCAATTGGAAATGGAAGGAAAAGTTCCCGCGCAAGATGAAAATCTTATTGTTCGATAATGTAGTAAAGTAAAAAAATAAAAAGAACACTTTCAGGTTTTCTACAAAAATACAAACCCACAACAAAATTTATTTATGTTTAATTATTTACAAACATAACGTACGTAAAACAATAGCCTCGTAAATCTTTTTAACTTAGGTATAGTACAAAAAGCAAAAACAACACGTTTAATTATTGAGCAGTTTGAGGATTAAGGCTGTTTAATATAGTACTAGCTGAGGCGGGAGCTCTACCAAGTTTATATAAAACATTTAAATATAAACTTAAGCAGGAACGTCTAAAGGAATATGTCCTGAAAATTAATGAAAATAAATTTAAACTCACATTACAACTAATTTTAATTCAAGTAATTTACCACAAAGAATATTCAAAATACAATCTACGAAACAGCCACACAAAATAACCTCTAAAGGAGTTGTAATTCTTGTATATACATTTTTGTGCATGGTGGGCCATTACACGAGGTCTATCTACTACATCTCCATGCATACGACCAATAGCTCTAACCGTATTCAGATTTCTGTAATTAAAATAAATTAATATTTGTTTAAAAAAAAATATGCAAGCAAATAAATACCGGACGACAAATAACATATTGCGGGGCATTTCCTTTAGAGTGGACATTATTAATTCAAAATTTTTTTGTGCAATCATTTGCATATACTTAATGTCCTCTTCATTTAATTTTGTTTTAATAGTGCCACCATGTATACGTATGGGTTGTTGAAATAAAACTTCGGCAAATTTCATATGATCTTTTATACCCAACTTATGGGCTGCCTTTGCCATAGCCTTTTCATCACGTAAAACGGTAGCTTCCCAGAATTCACATAAAGGTGCTCTAACGTTGGCGGGCAATTCCTCATATAAACCATGATCTAGGAGTACAATTTCAGCTTTACCAGTTTTACCACTTTTACGCACAAAAACTAAATATAAATTTTAAAGTTATATTAGATTCCATTTGTTTTCTTTAATTTAGTATTTGCCACTTACTATTACTGGCATGTGGATCAGCATGCACAAGCCAGAACTGAATATTTGCTCGGCAAACATTTGAAATAGTTTCTTGTCAACATCTTTTAGATTTAAATGATTGTTCTTGAGTTTTTCCACATCACCAATTTTGATACCATCTATCCATTCCAATGTTAAAACTCTCTAAAATAAATTATGTTAAATTTCTGGTCATTTCAATAGCAACACAACTTACCGTTCTTGTCTCCGGCCAATAGACTTTTGGTATATGCACAAATTTAAATTGTTTCAAGTCATTTGCACATCTTTCCAAGTTTTTACCCTCGTTAATGAAATTTAATTCTTGCACTAAGTTTTTGCGTACATCTCGCAATATCCAACCGAAATTATAACTTTTAAAAAGAATTCTATAACATCATGAAGTAGGATAATAGTGCCCAAATCGCTAACAAAACGTTTTTGTAAATCACTATATTGGACCTAAAAATTGCAACAAAAATGAAGACTTAAAAAAATATTTTATGATTTTTTGTTATTTGCCATATTTCTTACCTTTACAGCCACATCTTGACCATTTTTAAGTTTGGCCTTAAAAACCTGAGCAATACTTGCCGCTGCCTTGGGCGTGTAATCAAATTCGGAATAAAAATATTCCGGCTCGTGGCCAAAAACTTCTTTAAACACTTTCAAAACATCTTCCTTACTGGTGGGCAAACATTTATCTTGTAGTTTCATCAAAGTACTTGTATATTCTTTGGGCAATATATGATTTATGGCAGCAAACCCCTGACCCACTTTTATATAAAGGCCACCATTTAATAAACATGTTTCTAGTAAACGATTAGCACTTCTTTGATGTACTTCATTAATATTGTCATCATAATTAGGATCACTTTCATCCAATAGTAAATAGTCGAAAGCTATGAGAGAAGCAGTCTTAACGGAACGCATAAAACGTATGGAAGCCCCTGAATAGGTAAAATCATTGATCAAACCATCGTATGCTATAAAGCCAGTAAAAGCTGTCACAAAAGTGATCGGAACAAAAGGTACGCGTCTAGGTTTGGCGGCGTTATCATAATGATTACGTGGTTGTCGTTTAAATGTTCTTGTTGTAAAACGGTAAGCACGATTTAATGATTGTAGCTTACCATTAGTAGATAGATTTAACTAAAAAATAAATTTTAATTTATTAATTTATACCGTAATTCATTATATAAGATTCTGTTTAACACAAACTCACTTTGCTTAAAATCATATTTTGTTTTAATAATTAATAAAATTGCCAAATTAACATTAAGTTCTTCAAAAATTAATAATAAAATAATCACTTTTTAATAATACATAGTTAATTGTTAATTATTTAGTTCTTTTTCTTGTTTTTATCACAAAAAATATCAACACAACAACAATAACAACAACAATAACACAACAATTATCTGCAACAGCTGTGGTGTAACAGTTTTGCAAATGTAAACAAAAGACAGCTGTCTTCTCTAGACGATTACTTGCTAAATTATTAGTGATGTGAGTAAAGGTGTACGAAAGAAAATTTGTTATACAAAAATAAAAAAAGTGTCTGTGTTGTTATTTGTTTATAATTATTTGTGTAAAAATCAAAACATTTAATAAGTTTTATTTTAATTATTAAATAGAATATTAGTAATATAAGTAAATCTTAGCTATGCTAAAAACATTAACTTCGCCCCGATTCAGTCATAATATTTTATGTAAATCATGCAGCATAATGTAAGTTATCAAATGGGAATATTACATTCCTCCCAATTTTCATAAATATTTACATTACATAACCTTAAACTGGCAATGGTATGGACCATGGTCAAGGTTAGAAGGAAATGTAATTATTATGTATTATAATAATTGCTAATAAAGCGTGCTACAACATTTTTCTTTTCAGCATTACACGAGACTACAACTCCAGGCAGAGTTTGTTTACTTTTGGTAATATTACCAACAAAAATCGTGGCTATTATAAGAAGGAACTAATTGGGTGAGTGGAAAATTAAATGTTGTAAGTGTATACATATATAGTGGTATGTTTAAGATTGGTACTATTCAGGAATTTTTTCATCCAATTGTAATTTATATTTTTCGCGAAATGATAGAAAAAGTTTAAAACGTCATCAAATATTATGCGGTACACAATTGTGTGGGATTTGGATGTTTTTGTTCTGGGTAACTATGAATAATAGTCTACGGAGATTGATAACCGAGAAATTCTTTTATGCTAAGGGGCAGGGAATCTATTAATTTGAATGGACTCAACCGAGTGGGCTAAATGTAATATATACCTATAGTCCAGTCCATGCAGTAATAAGTATAGTCTAGCCTATAGTCTAGTCTATTGTCTAATCTATAGTCTAGTCTATTGATCTGTAGTCTAGTCTATTGTCTAATCTATAGTCTAGTCTATTGTCTAGTCTATAGTCTAGTCTATAGTCTAGCCTAAAGTCTAGTCTATTGTCTACTCTATTGTCTAGTCTGTAGTCTAGCCTACAGTCTAGTCTAGTCTATATTGTAGTCTATTCTCTATCTAGTCTATCTAGTATAGTATAGTCTAGTCTAAAGTTTAGTCTATAGTTTAAACTATAGTCTAGTATTTAATCTAGGCTATAGTCTAATCTCTAATCTAGTCTATAGTCTTGTTTATAGTTCTATCTATAGTTTAGACTATAGTCTTGTTTATAGTCCAGTCTATAGTTTAGACTATAGATTCTAATCTGGTCTATAGACTATTTTAAAGTATATAGTCTAATCAATAGTTTATTCTAGTTTAGTCTATAGTATAAAATATAGTTCAGTTTAAAGTAAAGTCTATAATCTGGTTTATAGTATAGTCTGTAGTCAATTTTATAGTCTGGAATATAGTCAAATCTTAATATATACATATTTTTTATTACTTTACTCCTGTCTTTTCAGCTATTCTATGGATGAAATGTACTCTGTGGTCTCCGATGTTAAAAACTATTATAAATTCGTGCCATACGTGAAAAAATCCCATGTCCATAGTGAACATTCGAACGGTTTTAAAGCGGATCTTATTGTAGGCTTTCCACCACTTAACGAAATCTATACCTCAAATGTTACATTAAAATATCCAAACTTAGTGACGTCCGAATGCAAAGATGGACGCCTCTTCAATTATTTACTAAACGAATGGCGCTTTAGTCCCGGTTTAAAAGATATACCACAGTCTTGTGTATTGGATTTCAAAGTTTCGTTTGAATTTAAATCTTTACTGCATAGTAATATAGCAAATTTATTCTTTGATTTGATATGTGATCAAATGGAAAATGCTTTTATAACTGAGGCTAAAAAACGTTTCGGAGATGCTTCCATCAAATCACACATTTTAACTTCAAGACGATCCTGACCTTAAAAGAATTTTTTTTAGTTTTAAAAGTCTACTTTGAATAGGAGTATTCACAATTTAAGAATTAAAGAATTAAAATAATTTGTTTAATAATGTAACGAGATATTACAGTGTTTTGTTTTTAAATATTTTTTATGTTTTTTTAAGTTAAATAATACATTTTTAAATTTTATATGTTTTTATAAATATACAAATTAAAACCGCCGCAATTTTTTTTTTTTTTCAAATAAAAAACTACAAATAAATGATGACCAAAGACTGTACGAGAGAGTTTCTTTTTTTAATTTATAAAAAAATAAATTGTTAATAACTGCTGTAACCAAATAAAAATAAATTGTAACAAAAATAAATTTGTGTTTATAATTTTTTAATAATTTTAAATTTGAATATTTACCTTGATGATTTTTAGAAACCACATCAATCCACAATATTGTTTAATAAAGTGTTTCAAAATCAAACCACCTTATTTTAGAGTTTAGAAAATTCGTTATATATAATTAGTTTTTATTTCATCGGTTTTCTTTTTCTGTTGGGTTTTTCATTTTCTTGTTTTATAATTTCTACAAAATTTATTTTATTGTTCTAAAATTCCTTAATTTTTTTTCTTTTTATAATTAGTATTACAATTAATTTAGTTTCATATAATATATGTATTAAAAGATTATTATTTTTTTAACGTTAACTACTGAAACGTTTCATTACGTAACTACAATAAAAACTACACAGCATTTAACAACGAATTTAAGTTTTTGTTTTTTTTTAATATATTATAAATGTGCTTTAATTAAAAATTATAGAAAAAAAATTAAATAGGAATAGAAAAGTTTTAAGCTTTCTATAGTTTAAAAAAAAAGTAGAAAATGATTTGATATGAACAAACAATTTATTAAACAAATCTTTTAGTTAAAGATTTTAAATAGTAAAAACTACACCATTTTTTAAAAACAGATAATATAAATTTGGAACAGTTTAGAACCATCATGTAAATAAAGGCTAAATTTTTTTTGTTCGGTCTATTCGGAAACTTATACATCCGCTAACAAAACATAAAAAAACATGACGTGTTTTTGAATTCAACCCAGGCGGTTCTCTGTGAGGATAGATAAAACTTAAAGAAAAATATTTAGTTCTGTAATTTCTAAACGTATTGTTCGAACGATTGTATGGGGACTAGGCGAAATAATGGACCGATTTTAACCAATTCCAATAGGCCTTGTCATTGTGTCAAAAGAAGTATATGTGTCAAATTTCATCTAATTATCTTATCACCTCTGGCATGAGCACAAGCTTTACATGTACACACAGATAGACGAACGTACGGACATAGCTAAATCGACTCAGAAAGTGATTCTGAGCCGATTGGTATACTTTAAGGTGGGTATACGACCAATATTACAAACATCAGCACAAACGCATAATACCCAGTTGGATACAATAAAAAATTCAAAAAAATTTACTACATATGAAATCGACTGGGTTAGGTTCACTATAACTACCTTTATAGTATAGTTTTTGCAACAGTTTCAAATACATATTTCCGATTTTCTTGAAATTTATTTTTTTTTTTTGTATTCACAATACATCAAATTATTTGTTTGATGTTTAAGTTACACCTCTTAACAGTATTATACCACTAAGGAGCAGGAGTGAAACGTAAAACTTTGGAAGGCTGAGATCTGATTACCCATATGCGAAACGGAAATGACGAGCGAAAGTCTGAATTACGAAAATATGTATGCAATTCGGATTAAACAAGTTCTTTAGGAACTGAAATCTCTGTCAAATTTAATGAGAATCGGTCTACATAGAATCTTTTTCCAATTTATAAACTTTTGATAAGTAGTCCACATAGTAGTTAATAGACCAGCATGTAGGCTACAGAGTAGTCTATAGTCTAGTCCATAGTCCAGTCTATAGGACAATCCGATAGCCTAGTTATAGTCTATAGTCTAGTCTATAGTCTAGTCAATAGTCTAGTCTATAATATAGTCTATAGTCTAGTCTATAGTCTAGTCTATAGTCTAGTCTATAGTCTAGTCTATAGTCTAGTCTATAGTCTTGTCTTTAGTCTAGTCTATAGTCTAGTCTATAGTCTAGTCTATAGTCTTGTCTTTAGTCTAGTCTTTAGTCTAGTCTATAGTCTAGTCTATAGTCTAGTCTATAGTCTAGTCTATAGTCTAGTCTATAGTCTAGTCTTTAGTCTATAGTCTAGTCTTTAGTCTAGTCTATAGTCTAGTCTATAGTCTAGTCTATAGTCTAGTCTATAGTCTAGTCTATAGTCTAGTCTATAGTCTAGTCTATAGTCTAGTCTATAGTCTAGTCTATAGTCTAGTCTATAGTCTAGTCTATAGTCTAGTCTATAGTTCTAGTCTATAGTCTAGTCTATAGTCTAGTCTATAGTCTAGTCTATAGTCTAGTCTATAGTCTAGTCTATAGTCTAGTCTATAGTCTAGTCTATAGTCTAGTCTATAGTCTAGTCTATAGTCTAGTCTATAGTCTAGTCTATAGTCCTAGTCTATAGTCTAGTCTATAGTCTAGTCTATAGTCTAGTCTATAGTCTAGTCTATAGTCTAGTCTATAGTCTAGTCTATAGTCTAGTCTATAGTCTAGTCTATAGTCTAGTCTATAGTCTAGTCTATAGTCTAGTCTATAGTCTAGTCTATAGTCTAGTCTATAGTCTAGTCTATAGTCTAGTCTATAGTCTAGTCTATAGTCTAGTCTATAGTCTAGTCTATAGTCTAGTCTATAGTCTAGTCTATAGTCTAGTCTATAGTCTAGTCTATAGTCTAGTCTATAGTCTAGTCTATAGTCTAGTCTATAGTCTAGTCTATAGTCTAGTCTATAGTCTAGTCTATAGTCTAGTCTATAGTCTAGTCTATAGTCTAGTCTATAGTCTAGTCTATAGTCTAGTCTATAGTCTAGTCTATAGTCTAGTCTATAGTCTATAGTCTAGTCTATAGTCTAGTCTATAGTCTAGTCTATAGTCTAGTCTATAGTCTAGTCTATAGTCTAGTCTATAGTCTAGTCTATAGTCTAGTCTATAGTCTAGTCTATAGTCTAGTCTATAGTCTAGTCTATAGTCTAGTCTATAGTCTAGTCTATAGTCTAGTCTATAGTCTAGTCTATAGTCTAGTCTATAGTCTAGTCTATAGTCTAGTCTATAGTCTAGTCTATAGTCTAGTCTATAGTCTAGTCTATAGTCTAGTCTATATTCTAGTCTATAGTCTAGTCTATAGTCTAGTCTATAGTCTTGTCTATAGTCTAGTCTATAGTCTAGTCTATAGTCTTGTCTATAGTCTAGTCTATAGTCTAGTCTATAGTCTAGTCCATAGTCTAGTCTATAGTCTAGTCTATACTCTAGTCTATAGTCTAGTCTATAGTCTAGTCTATAGTCTAGTCTATAGTCTAGTCTATAGTCTAGTCTATAGTCTAGTCTAGTCTATTATCCCTCAAAAAATTGTTTAGTTATTGTAGTAGTTCACTGCGCACTAACATCAAATAGAGTCCGTATTAACAGCACTACTCCACTCGCCACATGTAGTATTTGATCCGTCACGTAGTCTTTAGAAATCTCTGTAGATCATTAAGTTTTGACCCAGATATCTTACCAAAGTTGGATATGAAGAAATTGTCAAGGAAACTGTTTCTTTACCGGCTAGAGCAGGGCATTCGCAGAGAAGATAAAAACAGCGTTAACTAAAATTCACTAAAAGAACTTCAAAGGTCTTTCCTATAGCATGTATAAATGGTGTAGTTTTTTAAAATCCGTATAAAAAATCTCTTAAAAACAGTTTTCTATATGTTTTCTTTTATCTCATTTAAGTTTAATAGTTATTTTTCTTTTGTCGTTTTGCAATTGATACTGTGAAAATACAGTTTAGTTTTTTTATAGATATTAATAAATATGTTTGTAGGTTTTTCAAAAACCTGTAGGTATACATTTTTTTATTACAAAAAATTTCCATAATTTAGACTTATTAGAGTTAAAGCTAAAGTATTGAAAAGTTATAGTTTTTGTTTTCGTTAATAGTAAAAATGTAAATGGCAAAAATAATAATAATATTAAAAAAAGAAAATCTTGTTACTATTCGTGTATATAAGTTTATAAAAAGGTACGTACATTGTTTTTTATCATTAAGCAGAGAATAAAATAAAAATATAAAACTAAAAAAACAGCACCAAATACATTAGTAAATACAGACGAAATTATACTTCAAAAGATATAAATAAAAATATACATAAATAAAAAAAAAATAAACTATACATAAATGTATAAAATATATATAAAAAAATAAAAAAAAAAATACAAACAAAAAAATGTTAATTAATACTAATAAAGATTTTTTTTAAATACTGTTTATAACAGTATTCTTGGTATTATACTTATTTATATAAAAAGACAAGAACATAGATTTCATCATAAATTCTAAAATAAAAAATTAAATTAAAAAAAAAATTCACTTTAGGAAAGTTAAATTTTTTTCTGTTTCGATTTGTTTTCAAAGTACAAAAATAAATAACAATACTTAAGTTCAAATGTGCAAATATCACTTATTTTTCTAACATTTTCATTTCAATGTTTGTTTTGTTTTGTTTTTTTCTTTTCTTTTAAAGGAAGAGGAGTACTAGTAGTTTTAGTAAACCAGTGTGGTAGTAGCTGTCACAGTAGTTTTTATCGCGAAACCAAGGGAGTTTCTTTTGTGCGCTTATATTTATGGCAACGGCGTACAGTATTGCTCCCCGGTCTCAGACATACTCAATTGTGTTTAGCTCGTTTACCAAACATATAACCCTTCCAACGTTCGGCAGTCTGTGATATAATTGGATCCGAATCGATTGTGGCCAAGAGTAGCAATTGATTAACATGCGTAGCATGATAATCCCAACGTGCTAAATTTGGCGCAACGCCTAAACTTAAATGTCGCAAATCGTAACTAGTACCAGAGCCAGTATCGTATAGAAGTAACATTTTCTTAAGGGATATCATGCCCTGATTGAAAAGTTTACCAGCTTCATTGGCAATATTTGAGGGAGCCGTAGAATTAAGATCATATAAACCCAATAGGGAGTAAATGAAGCCATTTAAAACAAACGAAGCTGGAGTTGTAGGATATTCTTCATACCTGTAAAGAGTGGTAATAGACGTTAACAAAATGTTTATGGATCTGTGAAATCTTAGGAACTAAATTCGGAATTAAATTATAAGCCTGTTCTCGCTTTGTTCAAATAATTTAGAATTCATTTTTAAAATTTGAAAATTCTGTTCGAACTTAAATTCGAAGACATTTTTTAAAGTTTTTAAAACAATATCCAGTTTATGAGGATTTAGAAAAAATCAAA